ATTGACTTCTCATTGATTTGATTAAATCTCTCTGCCATTTAAATGAGGAACTCTGTGTGAAAACAAGGATTTCTTATGACCTGAAGAACTCATTTCTTACTAAAAGAAATCATCTATTTCACTCCTCAGCTAAGTACTTCAGGAATTAGGGCAGGTGAGGAGAAAGGTCTTGGCAATGGCAAGTTGATGAGAAATGAATTAATTCGATTATTTCCATGGTGTGGATCAATAATAGTCAGCCTCCACAGAGGCCCCTGGCCTGAAGGCAGCTGGATGATCAATAGGATCACACAGAGGCCTTCTCCTCCCCCAGCAGCCTCTCTGATCTTTTCTGGGCGGACTCTTCACGCCTGTGTAATTCTAATTTATGTCAACTAGAAATCAAAGAAATTCCAAGAGGCTTTGGTCATAGGACATTGGGGTGGACCTTTCAAAATCTATTTATGTCTATTCCTTAAGTAACGTGGCCCCCACGGCCCTCCTGGCGCCTCTACGGGCCAAGAAGAAGCCTCCTAGGAGAATGGCAGCTATCTGCTCAGGGCAAAGGCGGAGCAGCAGAGTTAGGTAAACCAAGGTACACTTTCTCCTTCCTATCTACAACTCTGCAGGGACAAAAGAACTAATAAGCATTTTAAGCAAAATGCTTTGCCAAGAGTGGCTCCCTCAATAACGCTCTTTAATGATACCCCAGACGCTGGCATTTTCAAATCAAATGAACAGTGTATAAAATTAGTTCTGCATGAAGTTAAAAAAAAAAAATAGAAAGTGAAAGAGAGCTTTTAAAAGCTCCAGCATTTCTCCATCCAACTGCTTTTCACAAGGGTTTGGCATTTGAGAATTGCTACATTTATGATGTTATTCGCTGCTCATAATTCAGGTCCTCTGTTTCCAAATTTCTGTATTAACACACACTGCAGAGGTTTGCACCACGGCATTTTATCACTGAGGTTTCCCAAACCAGCCAGGCTGCCTCTGGGAAGGTCTGGTTTCTCAGCCAATGCCATGCCACTGGGCTCCCTTCCTTCTCGTCAACCTTGTTACCCTAAACATTTCTCATTAACCTTGAACACTGCATTTCCATTTGCCCTACAGCTTTCCCATGAATTTTTCTGTCCTTTTCAGTTTTGCTCTCTATCCAAACTGCCTTATAAGAAATGAAGAAAATAGCATATTATTAGAAGAAATAGATCTGTATAGAATCCAGAATTCCCTGAAGTTGTGAAAATGATTTCTATGGCCAAAGCCACTGTCTACAATTGTGCAGAGTAAACATATTGCTCTTATTAGAGAGCCCCATGGATTATACAAGTAGTTTTAACTAAATCACCAAATAAATGCGTGTTAAGTTGATAGGTGATTTCGGGTCAACTCTAATTCCCAAGGTCAAGTAAGCCTTTGAACAGTCTTTAAGAATATAAGTTCACCCCAATTCATCAAAGCCGTCTCACACAGCGTTTTCTTCTCTTGGTTCTTAAAATGCACTAAAGTTTAGGAGATTAAGTGGCGTCGGCTTCAAAACCCAAAGTAATGCCTCTAACATGCTTATCCATCCAGCAATCGGAAAAGCTACTCAAACAGGGGCTTCTTAATGCACTTCCTAATTTTACAAGTGCGCGGGGAATGCTGCGTTTGTCCAATGGCTGGAGCACTCCTCCTGAGAAGTCACCAATGTTGCAGCCAAACAAATTTACTGCAGTTTAGCTTAGACTTTGTCTCATAATCTAAGTGCATGTTGCTTTCATCTGCAAAGAATACGTTAATGTTTCTCATCTGTTCTCTGTTTACCTAATGAGAGAGAAAAAGGAAAAACACTTTTCCCTACAACAAATACAATGCATTTTGTTATTCTTACAATTCCTCGAAAGCTCAAGTGAGGATAAAAGCAGAAGTTTGGTAAAGTATAGCTTCCAAGTTAAATATAAGTGGCCCCAAAGGAAACTGACTGCATGTGAAAGAAAATATAACTAGCCTTCACTATTTCTCAGAACCACAGGAGCGCGGGGACACAAAGACCTCACAAACCCCAGCTCTCCCCAGTGCAGGGCTCCCATTGACAACATTCCTGGCAAGGGGGTCAATTGTATAGACTGTTGAAGTCTCTTGCCCTCCCTTTGCTCCACTTGGTGTGCAGAGAGGGGAAAGAGAACTCAGATTAATGAGGGCAGATTGGTTAAGGTACAGGAAAAAGAGTGATAGGCCCAAATTAATTTTATTCGTTAATTCTTTGCTGGCACAGATGATCACATTGAGATAGACAGTGGATCTTTGTCTCTGTCTCCTAATCATAATTTCTGTTTCCTGTTTCTATTCTTATTTTTCTCCATTATTTTTCTGATTACTTATTTTGTTTCCTTACCTATTTGAATTGTCTTATCTCCAACTCACCCTTTTCTCTCTCTGCAAGTCCTTCTTCATCCCTATGACTGGTTGGTAAGTTGGTTCCAAATACAGAGTGTCCCATGGAGGCATTAGTGTAAAGCGTGTAGAAAATGTAATTATTAATATCTTTGTGTAGAAAATAATACTCTTTAATTGTAAATGTAAGTGAGGAAAAAGTAAAAGTGCAACATCTCCTCTAATCTGAGTTTATTTTTTTCCTGTCTTTTTAATTTCCTTTCAAAATGGGATAGTGGGCAATATAATTTTTTCTCATCTGGAAATTCAAATATCAAAATGCAGGTTAATATAATGACATTGATAAGAATAATCAGGAACACATAGAGCATTTTATATATAACAAACATTATTCTAAGGGCCTGTTATATGTGCACTCATTTAAATGCTCACGAGATAGGTACTGTTATCATCCCCATTTTGTAAATGAGGAAAGAGAGGCACTGAGAGATTAACTGCCCAAGATGACACAACTAAGCGCAGAGGCCAGATTTGAACCTGAAATGTGGCTCCAGAGTCCATGCCCTCAACTACTAACCTCTTTTCCTTGCTACTCAAATCTTTCTTTGAATCTTGATGAAAATTTAAAATATAGAGAGGGATAGCATAATACAAATTTTGAAAGCTAAATAGCTACTTTAGATTTCCATCCAACCAAATCAACAAGCGGGCTTTTATGTGCAAGCCTTTACTTGCACTTTGTGTGTGGTTTGGAAACTTCTTCCGTCCTCACGGAACCTCTTGTGTTTGGCTCTGAGCTGCGGTAAGCCTGAGGACGCCGGGCAGCAAGGCTGCACCCAGCAACCCCTGGGCTGGACATGCTGCAGCAGGCTTTGGTCAGGCGGCCTGGTGCTAGAGCCAATGAGCTTTCAGAGCAGCTTTCTACTTGGAGAACGATTCAGAGGCCGCCTGAGGAAAGGGCTAAAACCCTCAGGGGTATTGCTAATCAGAACAAACTCCCCTTCTCATTTTTGACTAATTTGCATTTGGGTAGAAAAGGATCCATTCCTTAACTTAAAATTGACAAGATGCTGGTCAGCAAATATGTCTGGAATAATCTTCTCCTGTACTAACTGGAACATAAATTTCTACATTTCATCTGTGAAGACGGAGCTGATCTCAACAAATCTAGAGTACGGGCTAGAAATATGATGACTTCTGAGAATGGTTGTGGATACACAGATCCGTTTTGAATGCATTCATTTTGGTGTCCTTGGTTAGGTAGTACTCCTGTAGCAGTTCCTTCTGGCGGAGGCTAAGGAGTTCTGCTGTCATTGTTTAGTGTTTCTGGAATACTCTGCCTTTAACTTGTAGACCCTCTGACTTGTTTTAAAAGAAGTCATTTTAAAATGACAGGGTTAGTAGCAGTGTTAGGTTGGTTAGTAGTGAAATTTGAGGGAAACTTGCCATCCCTGGTCTCAGTGCTGTTGCTTAGTAACAAAGTCAGTCAGCTTTCTAGGCTGGGCTGAGAATATATAATAAAATCTCTCTAAACATAACTAACTGGCAAAGCCCTCGTCTAAGTTGAGATTTTAAAGCATTTGGAGAAAAGAACTAGGTCAATTAACAAAAATGACAAAGCACACAGAGGATTTGGGCCATTCTTGTATTTGCCCCTAAGTTTGCTACATTTAGAAAATGCATGTCCTTTGAGAGGCATATATATTTAGTTTCCCTCTCTTTCATTAGATTTGTCTCTAAGCACCAGTTGCAAAAGTAACACACGTGCACATTATTACAAAATGCCAGCACTTTCTGAGCAAGTATCTGAGGTGGATCTTTTGTGCCATGAGTACTGGACACAGACTCCAAAGACCTGGGGCAAAGTCTTGGATGAGTGACCTTGGGCCAGTGCCTGGTCTTTCTGAGGCTCCACTGTCTCCCTTTCACAGTACAAATAACTACTTCTTAGACGAGTTATAGGGAAAACATGAAAGTCACAAAGGGGGAAGCACCTCTCTTTATCAGCCTGCGGATCAATACAGACTTATCATCTTTCTTCCTGATCTTCAAAGAGCCCCAGATTACATGCAGCACAATTTCCCAAATTCATGCTCACGTGTCTGGCCAGCTCCACAGACCTTCGGTGGGACCTCTGGGACTGTTTCTCATCATGTGCTAAAAGTGACATCTTAAGTGTGGAAAGAGGCAAATTCCCACATAATATCTCCTCACTGGCCCTTTCTTGCCCCCAAATGACCAGAATACATAGATGTTAAGCACTGAAATTACACACTTCAAATTGTGAAAAAAACAATTTCACACTGTTCTTTCCACCTTACTGTTGCAGGAAACTTGCAGCCCACAACAGAATCTTACTGTTAGACCCTGTGTATTGCAGTATGCCATGCAAACATTTTAAATTTTGATCCATGGACTTATGGATAGGAGGCCAAAATCTAAGTTGACTGTGTGTATGACTGCTTTTTCTTTCTGCAAAAGTACAAAATTCATTTTAGGAAACCACGCAACTTAACAATGCATAGCTCTAAGAGTATACGTATGTGTGTGATTACATACATACATACAGGGAGAGAAAGAGAATTATGATATCAAGCTATTAACTACACTGATGTATAGAAAACAATTTGATAGGCAATTCTTACTTTATCGCATCTCATCAGCCCCAAATATCTCAGAGACTTGCTGCTCTGTGCAATCAGGGTGGCTCCTTGATCTGTAATTTCTTTACACCATCCAACATCCACAGTCTCTATTGTCATGCTGTATCGCCCAATGGCTATCAGTGCTGCAAGGAGGGATAGAGAGAAAGAAAGCAAGCATAAATGTTAGCAGTGTAAGGGACCTCTATATTATTATGACTATTTCTCATTTCCTCACTGAATTTGTTACTGAAATGTTGTGTGTAAATGAATGTTTTGTAAACTAAATTAAATTTGAAATGCTTTAGGAAAGTCTGCCATATGACATAGCCTTTCACAAAGTGAATAATCATTCCATAATTTCCCTTTCCTTGGAGCACAATCTTTTATCAGTTTTACTCATTACAAGGTTACCTGTACTTTCAAATATTCATATCTGCAAAAGGAGTAAATTAAAATGAATTACATATATTACTTACAAAAAACTCCAAGTAGTTACTAAACTTTACCCAGGATAACTTTAATAATTGTTTTTAAAGAAAACCCACGTAAACACCATTTTGAGGTGTGTTAAACTGCATATGAATTTCTTTACTGATTGGCATAATTTTTTCCATCTGTTCATGATCTGTCAAATGCAAGAGTATATAATATTTTTCACACTAGTCCTTCTCGGGACTGTTAGGAATTAGGAGTACATTATACATACAGTTGAATTTAATTGGTGCCCTGGTGGAGTGCAGCGAAGGGAATGCATTTGTTATGGTGAATTTCCTCACCAGATCAGAAGTTTTCCTTCTATTAACATATAAAATGAAGCCTGTCATCTGAAAACTACGACAGTATCTCTAGTCTTGACTGTTTGGCATTGTACCACTACTAAAGTGCAGAAGTTTGTAATCTACGATGTGCACTACTTCTCTCTGCTCCATAACCCATCGCCCTGTCAGAGAGACCAGTCAGTGAATGTGCTCTTTGCTATGGACTTCTGATTTGACAGACGTGCACACCTCTATGTTTACAGAGCAGAAAAACAGATTTCAATACCTCTAGCCAGAATAAGTTTATGGTGCATTGGTTTGTAAATGAAAATCCTGGAAATAATGCCACAAACATTAAAAAGGAAAGAGAAATTGTCTGCTAATTATTTCCTCATTCTAAGATAGGATAAACTGATTTCTGTGACATTAAAGGCGGATGATATTTTCCAATTGACTAGATTGATAAGAGTGGAGTGAATTACTCATGTAAATAAATGTTAACTCTTACAGAAAAGAACACCTGGTAAAATCTCTTTGCTAATTACCTCAGTAATATACTTTATATTAGAAAACTCATGCCCATGCATTTAAGTATCAAAACAGTCCTAAATAGCCAGATATTTAAAGTTTACAATAACAATAATCATGATCCCAATGTTTTCGAGAAAAAATACAGTAAAGAAAGAAAATAACTTTTTTCCTGGAAGTTCCTCATGCCACCAATTTGGCTGATGCTCGCATCTTTGTACACGCTATTTTGGCATCTAGTTTTCCAAGGAGGTAGGGCGGGGCACGGGGGATCTGAAAGGTTCGCTGAATGGTCCAAGCTGTATTTTTGTATAGTAGAAGCAGAAGCAATATCCCAGGTTAATGCCCTTGGTGTCCCTGACCTAAGAAAACTGTTATGTCTGGTACTGTCATAACTTTCTCTGGTTATGATATCCTAAGAATCTCCTTTGATAAATGAAGGAGATACATAAAAGAAATTCCTTTCAATACAAAGTACTCAAACTGTGATTTCAAAAGATGACAAAGCACAAATTGCAGGATGGCCCCAGGTCGGTACATTGTGTACTTTATTGAGGTTTGAGGCTTTCTAGATGAACACCCTGCACTAGTCAGAAAAAGGTAAAGCAAATGATCTGAGGAGTTTTCAGAGGCTGCTTGATAAGCAAATGAAGAGTCAACAGCTATTGACTCTAGGCGCTAAAAACATGGGTGTTTGGTATTTTCCTTTGTTTCTTTCTTGTCCAAATTAAACAGTAAATAAGACAACTGACTATAAATAAGAGTATCCTGTTTTTGTTTTGACATAATTCTATTTACTGAAGTAAGATTAAACTTTACTATTCCTTAACTCATTCATTTAGTCAACAAACACCTCATGAGCACTCACTCTAGAGCATTTTCTCCGATATTTATTGACTATCCATGTGCTAGGCACTGGGCTAGGAATTTTAGGTACATTATCTCATTTAACCCTCATGGTAACCTTAGGAAGTCTTATTGCTATTTCCATTTTAAAGATCAGGAAACTGAGTCATAGAAAGACTGAATAACTTTCTCAGTATCACAAGACAGTAAGGGAGGGAGTGGACAGTAACCTGATAGTACGTGATAATAAGCCCTGGCTGCACATTAGATCTACTAAATTGGAATCATGGAGCCAGTCACCTGGTAATTCTAACATGCTGCACTACCAGGGTGTGGAGCTGTGGTAAGACATGCCAGGCCTGTGCTGGGTACTGGGGTAGAAAGATTCACAGAGCTCCAACGCCAGTTGAGGGGGTTTGAGGGTCGGGGGTGGGAGGGTTGGGTGGGTATGAGGAACAGCCAAGTCAACAGTCACAATATAATGCTCATCCTCCATCTCTTCCCATACCTACTGCCTTCTCACTTTTCAGATCTCAAGTTGAAGGTCAGCTTCTCAGAACCAATCACCCTATCATTCACTGCTATTGGAAATGTTATTTAATGTTTACTTATTTACATTTTTGTGGCCCACCTCCCCCATTACTATTCACTGCTGTATGACCAGCATCTGGCATGTACCTGGTACAGGATCAGTTCTTAAAAATATTAGTTGAACACACCAATGACTATAATGTCATTAGGTCTATTATAGAGGCATGCCAAGGGGGCATAGGAGCCCCTCACTCTTCAGAGGACGAGAGACATCGTGAGTGCCCTCACAGAAGGGCTGAGCTAGTTCTTGAGGGATGAGTAAGGATTTTCCAGAAAAACAAAGGAGTGAGGGCAAATATGTCAGGCTAAGGAAATAGCATGTGTGAGGTAGAGAGATGTGAAAGGACAGGGGAGCTGCAGATCATTCTGTGTGGCTGAAATAAAAACAAGTACAAGGAAGTGGCAAGATTCATTCCAGAAATACTTATGCGTTGATTAGTGGTATTGGAGTAGACATAAGAGATACAAAGAGTAGCAAAAATAAGTAGAGTCCTTGATGTCATGAAACTTATATTCTAGTAGGAGAGAGAGATATAAAACAGATAAACACAAAAGTATACATAATTCTAAACTCTAACAAGTGCTCTGAAGGAAATGGATGGTCACTGTAAGAATAACATTGAGATGGGGTGCGCCAGGGAGAACCTTTCTGATGAAGTTACTTTTAATCCCTCCAACAGCCCTGCAAAAACAATACCTATTTTAGAGGTAAGAAAACTGAGGTTAAATACCTCCCCGAGGCCCCATCCCTAATAAGCAGCAGAATCAGGGTGCAAACTGAGATCATTCGTTTGCTCCAAAGCCAGTGTTCATCCTATCACAGGGGCAGTACCCAGGGCGTGGAGGTGTGAACATTCTGCATATGTTCAGAATGTATTTTCCTTTACCATCATTCAGGATTTAAACATTATAGCTTATAAGTAGCCAAGTATTTATCCTGTGACTATACAATAGGGGTCCAACAGAATCTTTAAATTCCAAAATATACACTGAGTAATTTACCTCTCTGTGACTATATCCTACCTTTGGATACTTTGTCATTGTTTTTCACCAGCTAGCTGTGAAACCTGTGGTGTGGTATAGCCTCAAACTCATTTCCAGCCTCACCACTTAGTAGATAGATGTCTGACCTCAGGACGACATTTAACTTTTCTGAGTCTCAGCTTCCTCGCCTGGACAATGGGGATGTTCACTATATGTATTGCCCACTTTATAGGGTTGGTTTGAGGTTCAAATGAAATAATACCTGTAAGAGACTTTGCACAACATAAATATCATGATTTACTTGATATTTCCCCAAACTATTCTACAGTGGTGCAATTGACATAAAATGAAAAGACTTGAAAGAGTTTTGAAAAATAAAAAGTTCTGGGCAAATGAGAGCATTATATAAGTACTTAGTCATTATGTCACTGCTAGAGTTCTTGAACTGCCTACTCTCCATAAGTGATCATGAACTTGTAGACTGCACCTGGGATGATAGGGCTGTAAATGTAATACATGATTACCACCTTCATTAGGGGCTGTTGACATATTACAATGGTATTTATTGAGCCTTGAAAGGGATAAATTATGCAAGACTAATTCCTAATCCCAAAGCAATTTTAATATGCCTTTTTTTTTTAAAAGATTTTATTTTTTCCTTTTTCTCCCCAAAGCCTCCCAGTACATAGTTGTATATTCTTCGTTGTGGGTCCTTCTAGTTGTAGCATGTGGGACGCTGCCTCAGCGTGGTTTGATGAGCCGTGCCATGTCCGTGCCCAGGATTCGAACCAACGAAACACTGGGCCGCCTGCAGCGGAGCGCACAGACTTAACCACTCGGCCACGGGGCCAGCCCCTTAATATGCCTTTTTATGTGCTAAGTGCAACTAATAAAGTTAAAATTTAAAATGTTACACAAATTAAAAGCTGTAATTCAGTAACTTATATGATGATCAAGGATATACATTAACCCATTAAAAGGCATTTCCATAGGAATACAGTGATTGAAAAGACATGAGCACATATGTACTTAATTTTAACTAAGAAATTCCATTTCTAGGCATCCACCCTGAAAATATACTTCTAACCAGGTTTCATGGGTTCAGATCCTGGGTGCAGACATGGCACTGCTCATCAAGCCATGCTGAGGCAGTGTGCCACATGGCACAACCAGAAGGACCTACAACTAGAATATACAACTATGTACTGGGGGGCTTTGGGGAGAAGAAGAAGAAGAAAAAAGAAGACTGGCAATAGATGTTAGCTCAGGTTGCCAATCTTCAAAAAAAAAAAAAGAAAAAAACCATTCTTATATATTAGATTCATTGAAGCATTGATTGTAACTGGAAAATAATGGAAACAGCCTAAATGTCCGTCCATAGGAGAGCAGTTAAAGAAACTTTGCTACACCCTCACAACTGAATACTACGCAGCTAT